GGGGGGGGGGGGGGGGGGGGGTAGGAGCATTGTAGGGGCAGGGTCTGGGACTAAAGATCTGGATGAAAAGTGGGGGCGGACAGGAGGAGGCTAACCCTGAGACTCTCGAGTGAACTTAGTAGTGGATGACTGAGGTGGAGCAAGAAGAGGAGGTGCTGGGGCGCCACGGGCGGGGTTCGAGGGGACGGAATCTGGCCCCTCCCCCAAGGGGTGCACAGTGGGCCAAGGCCCGAGAGACAAGCCGAGGAGTAGGGGGATACATGGAGGGGGGCGGGACCTAACCGTGGCCAGGCGCGTCTCCTCCAGCTGCTGCAGCCTGCGCACGTGGCTCGCGAGCAGCGGCTGCGCTCGGGGTCCGGCTAGCTCGGCCTCCACCGCCAGCACCTCCCGCGAGGCGGCGGCGAAGGCCTGGGTCACCTCGTGTACTGTGCTCCGGTAGCGCGGAAAGTCGTAGGGCGGGCCGCTTCTCAGGTACTGTCGGTGGCCTCTGCAGCAGGCGGGGAGCCTGAGGCTACGGCCCCGGCTCTCAGGCCCTGCACCCGCATCGACCACCTGAAAGTCCTCCAAGTGTCCCCTAAACCCCAGAGTGTGGAGGACGTTCTGACTCCCGCAGAGTAACCCGAGACGGGCCCACCCCTGCGCACGCGGAAGGGAGCGATCTGGTCTCCCCGCAAATCCCGCCCCACCTCTGACACCGCGGCCCCGTGGGGACCCAGTTCCTTCCCCAAGGCACGCTCATACCCGGAGCGGGCTGGGGGCTGACTCCCCACCCCCTCCCCTATGCCCTCACTTACTCCTCCAGCCGGCGGAAAGCCTGCGCGCGCTCAGCCTGCAACTGGTGGATGCGCTGCACCAGCGCCCGTATCGCGGCATCTTTCTACGGGGCGAGGGGCACGGCTAGGGTATGAAGCCGGCGCCCCCGCGCCTGCACCGCCCGCCCCGCGCCTGTTCCCGCTCGAGCTCGAGCTCACCCAGGGCCACACCAGCTGCTCGCGCTCCGGGGCTCCAGTGGCTTTCGCATCACCGGGCACCGCGGGGACAGCGGACTCTGCCGCGGCCTCAGTGATAATCATGACTGCGCAGCTCTGGCTCCAGCCGGGAGCAGGTTGCTCCGCTGCGCCTAGCTCCCCCTGCAGGCCCGGAGGCCTCTGGAGCCAGCTTGTGGCGGCCAGCTAACCTGGAGACTCCGGGGAAACAACGGGGAGCGAAGACTGGGGGCTTCTCAGGCCTGACACCCTCCACCCACCTCCACCCCTGTGCTTGTTCCCGACCAGCGCCTGCCTTAACGTTTTCGACCTTAAATGTACGGTTCTGTATACAGCAAGGCTGTCCTTCGGCTTATTTCTATGCAGCTATGTCAAAACCCGACTTCAGGGCTTCCCTGGTGGCGCAGTGGTTGAGAGATCGCCTGCCGATGCAGGCGACACGGGTTCGTGCCCCGGTCCGGGAAGATCCCACATGCCGCGGA